CTTTTCCGTTATAGGTTATTACAAGAAATTGAATATAGTTCCCTGTGCTCTGCAGTAGGTGCTTGTGGTTTATCTATTTTATAGACAGTAATGTGTGTCTGTTACCTCTTCAAAGGCTCCATATCTCCAAGTACAGTCACGTTCTGAGGTATTGGGGAGGGTGAGGGCTTCAGCGTGTGAATTTGGGGACAGGACACAAGTTAGCCCCTAACACTCTTCATCTCTACTCCCCCAGCTCCTGGCAGCCACCGTTCTGTCTCTATGAATTTGACTCCTCTCGGGACCTCCAATGCGTGGGGTCACACAGGATTTGTCCTTTTACGTCTGGCTTATTTCACGCACACACTGTTCTCAAGGTTCAGCAATGTCGTAGCGGGTGTCGGGATTTCTTCCATTGCAAGGCCATCCTTAATGGGCAGGGAGTGGTTCCTCCCTTTCCTCCCTTCTCTCCCTTTTCAGAGCTCTTGCCCCCTGTGCTTTGTAGGGGAGCTGGGTGGCCCGAACCCCAGGCCCACCACCCATCCTGCACCGCATCACACTCTAGGCTGTTACCCCCCCCCGTCAACTTTAGTTCCTAAATCGACAACACAAAGGTGATGACTTATCAGTTGTAAACCGAATAAAGACTCTAGCACTGTTAGTGTGTGGATGGGTCAGAAAAAGAGAGTTTACTACAGGTACAATGGTGGTGTCAAAACCAAATTTATTTTAGTTTAAATATCAAAACTGGTTCGGAACCCCCCAGCCATTTGAAGTAGTCATTTGCTGTAGGTGAGATTTTAAATGACTCAGAAGCCATATCTGGGTTGCTGAAATCCTTCTAATTTTGCATATTTTTGCATGTTGATTTGCATAAGGCGAAAGAGCTTAAGACTCGCATGCTACCAATTTAGTAAAGAAACAGCTAAATGGTTTTGATTTTCAGGCCAAAGTGTTCGTTTCTGTGTCCTGAAGCTCATTTAAAAAACTTTAAATAGATACTTGCCTGGAAAGTTGTGTTCACTTACTCAGCCTTGAAGAGGAAGGATGTTCTGACACCTGCTACTACGTGGATGAACCTGGAGGACATGATGCTGAGTGAACTAAGCCAGTCACAGAAGGACTAATACTGGGTGACTCCACTCTAATGAGGTGCCTGAAGTCACCAAATTCATTGAGACAGACAGTAGGATGGTGGGTACCTGGGGCTGGGGTGAGGGGTGGGGAGTTAGTGTTTAATAGGGACAGAGGTTCAGTTGGTTAAGATAAACAGGTTCTGGAGATGGATGGAGGTGATGGTTGCACAGGGTAGAAGGTGGATCCAGTTTTCAAGGATGCTAAAAAGACAGGAGACTGTAGCTTAGAATCAGACATCTGATCTACGCTTTTTTTTTTTTTTTGGAAAGGAGGAAGTGAAAGTGTTTATTTGCAGGTGACATAATCATACATATAGGAAATCTGAAAAAGTCTCCCAAAACCACTAGAAGTAGTAAGAAGATTTAGCAAATTGCTAAGGCGTTATGGTAATAACTTATCACAAACATGCAGCCATCCAGATAGTGTGGGACTAGCAAAAGGCTAGCCATATTGTTGAATGGAATAGAATTGAGAGGTCAAAGAGAATCCCTCACATTCATTTATTTTTTAATAGAGGGCACATGTTCTTTTAATGAGAAGTTTCTACTCTACACCAGAATGAATCCCATGTAAATGTAAATTCCTGCAATCTGAAATTACAGTCCGTAGCCAGCGGGTCCCCCCTGGGGACGGGGTCTGGGCTGGGGAGGGGCTCAGGTACTCTCAGCATCATGGTCACCTGGATACTCAGAACATCTGCTGATACGTAAGGACATGCATCCGCTGCGGCCACAGTGTCCTGTCGAGCCCTTGTGCAAACTCAGGGAGAGCTTGGTAGCAAGGCTGGGTTTCCACGCTGTAGGTTTCAGGCCTCCCATGGTACTGTCTCTTCTCAAGATTTAGTCGCTGGAAACCATTCTTTACAAGAGGTTGTGAGATCAACCCTGGCGCCCCACCTCCAGTGGCCCTGTGTTGCCAACATCACTGACCGGTGTGGGTGACAGCCGTCTGTCTGTCCTTGTGTCATTGCAGCAGCCAGCTGACCTGGAGGGATGTCCAGCACCTGCTTGTGAAAACGTCCAGGCCGGCCCACCTCAAAGCCAACGACTGGAAAGTGAATGGTGCTGGACATAAAGGTGCGGTCATGACTCCGGGGCTGGGTGGGGTCCAGGCCCCCGTCCTGGTAGGTTCTCTGGAGGACCTCCTGGAGCCTGTACTGGGGGAGACATGCATTTCTCAGAAAGAATCCCCAAATAGCATTAACTGGGTGTCACAAGAATGGAAAGTACTAGCCAGCGATTTAATGGAAGTATCCTAAGGTCACTCAAGTTCACAACTTTAGCCACATCCAGGGACCACCTGTACCAGTATTTAATAGTTCTCATTAAATTGGCTTGCCTTTTTTTTACACAAAGAACTGTATTCTTTAAAAGAAAACTTTATTACATCTAGTTAATCACAGGTTTGATGTGTAGTTATGTTTTTCACATTAAAACAAATCCATCATTATTAAGACAAATGATGTTTGTTTATGTGCCGCCCAAGGGCAACTTGCCTTCCTAGCCCTGGGTAGCTCTGTGATTTTGAAACTAGCCCTCAGTTTCCTCATCTGTACAATGAGGATCTTGAGATAGTTAAGTAAGTTACCTTCTAACTGTAAAACTTCTGTTGGCAAGCCTTCATGTTTTAAAAGGGCCCTACTGCCACAGCATAGCCTGGTTCAGAGCCAGGTAACATGAAATCAACCCATGGTCAGGGCTTGTAACCCAGATATTTGGAGACTCTTGAGCAGGTAATTATAGGACTGAGCCACTGGCTTTGTTTGTCTTGCTTCTTAGCAGAGATACTTGAAGATTTACATTCAGCTCGGGTATGTTAGGGAGGACTTTTTGTCTTCTGGGAAGCTCAGGTCCAGCTATTTCAACACCAAGCCTGATTCTGCTATGTGTAAAATATAGGTCAAGCATTGTTACCCTAAGTTCCAAGGGACACTCCTTTTTAATAAGGAGGCTGTTGGTGAGGCCTGATACGTCTTTGTTTTGCAGGAATGTTGCTGGGAGTGGGGCGCTTATAATAAGAGCTGACCTACATTTCAATTTTGGCCTAATTAAGTAGGAAAAGAGATGGTATCTCATGCTCGACCTTGCCTCTTAAATTAAACTTTGAAACTCTCCTGCCTCGGCCAAATTAAACACTGGCCCCGGGCCAGCCCCCAGTGCTCCCAGTCGCTGTGCTGGGCAATGCTGCTCTCCCTGAGCCCCCTGGAAATTCAGCAGGGAGAGCACATGGCCAGAGGTCTGAGCAGACCCTTGTTTGATTGTGTTTATTGCACATCGTGGTTGCATGAACCAAGGGGTCTTGGGTTTTGTTTTTCTCGTCTGGTTCAGGGTTCAGGGAGCACAGATGCCAAGAAGTCCCTTTAACATAAAGAAACTCGTCCTCATTTTGCAAAAATTAAGTACTAGGCCCTCTCATCACTTCTACTTTGCACCAAAATGGGACATCTTTTCTGGCCTCACTCCTGAGAGAGTTCAGTTCAGAGAGAGAACAAGGCAGCTGGGACCTGGGGGCGGTCCCAGAAGGGCTGGCCCTGCAGCCTGGGGCTCTTGGGAGTGGCCGCGGCCCTTTCAGGCCTGGAGGGACATGGATGACCTGTCCCTCCAGGGACAGGGCACCCACTTAGGAACCAGGAAGGGTGCAGGAGCCAGGCTTCTCTCCGTCCCTGGCGGGACTGGGGAGCCAGGTCTGAAGGCTCTGTCTTTTCAGTTAGCCATCTCTACGGTTTTGGCTTGGTGGACGCGGAAGCCCTGGTCCTGGAGGCCAAGAAGTGGACGGCAGTGCCCTCCCAACACATGTGTGTCGCCGTCACAGATAAGAGGCCCAGGTGAGCTCAGCGTTTCAAACCTGCTGTTTGACTCTGCTCTAGGGTATTTCGGGAAGCGGTGGGGAGGTGTTCACACAAGTATTCCTGTGCACATTGGAGGGGGTATGCGTGTGTGTGTGCGCACACGCACAGGCAGTGTGTATACAGACATGGCTACATTTTGTCTTATAGATTGTGAATTGGGGACAGGAATCACTTTTTTTTATTGAAGTATAGTGAGTTGACAGTGTTGTGCCAATTTCTGGTGTACAGCATCTTGTTTCAGTCCTACATATACATATACACATACATATATTCCTTTTCATACGTTTTCATTATAGGTTACTACAAGATATTGAATATAGTTCCCTGTGCTGTACAGTAGGACCTTGTTGTTTATCTGTTTCATATATTATCTGCAAATCTCAAACTCCCAATTTATCCCTTCCCACCCCTTTTCCCCCCTGGGTAACCATGATTTTGTTTTCCATGACTGTGAATCTGTTTCTGTTTTATAAATAAGTTCATTTGTGTCATTGTTTTAGACTCTGCATGTAAGTGATATTTTTCTTTCTTGTTCTGGCTTACTTCACTTTGAATGGTGATCTCCAGGTCCATCCATGTTGCTGCAAATGGCATTATTTTATTCTTTTTTGTTTACAGCAGCACTATTCACAAGAGCCAATACATGGAAATAACCTGCATTTCCATTGACAGGTGACCGGATAAAGAAGTTGTGCTGTATTTATATAGTGGAATATTACTCAGCAACGAAAAGAATAAAACAGTGTCATTTGTGGGAATCACTTCTTAATCTATAACCGTTTTGAGGCCTTTTGCTGTCAATTGTCACTTCCCTTTTGTAGAGTGCTCCATACTGGGGTGTCTGTCCCTCAGCCCAAACCCCCAGCTACAATTGGAAATTCTTAGGAATAATATTTAGCAAAGCCAACCAGACCAGGGGTCTGCCCTGCCTGGTGGAGGTGGGGTGTGGTGGACAGCAGCACTGGACATCCTCTCTGTTGTCCTTACGAGAGGCTGGAGCCGTGGCTCCAGACCAGCTCCTCCTGCCCCGAAGGCCCACAGCATGACTCGTGGGTCGTGGACCAGGGGGGCGGCACTAGCCGCTTCTCTGTTGAAGGAGGGAGGTTAGTACCCACAGTGCACAGCAGCCCCGTGTTGCTTTTACTGGACCCAGATTGCTGTCTTAGGGTTTAAGCCCTGGGATTTTTCTAACGAGCCTCGAGCAGTGGGCTCTAGGCTCTTGGCTTCACCCTCCTCCCATGACTGGGACACTCCTAGCTTTGCCCTTTGTGGTAAGTTGTTGTAAATCACTTATATTTGTTCCTTAAGATTTTTGTTTAAGAAAAAAATCAGCTATTAAGTAAAATCACAAGACCCCTGCTCCATTAGGAGAGGAAATCAGACCCTTGTCCTGAATTCTGCGGTGGTGGCTGCCCTGTCCTTTTAAAAGAAGAATGGTGTTTCTCTAGGCCTTAAAATCTGCTGAAGAATGGAATGTGTTTCTTTCTAGCTGTAACTTTTTATTGCCTTTGGAAATAGTGTGTTTGAAAAAAGAAATGATGGGGTGATGAAAAGTGACCCTTGTTTCATCAACAAGTCAAGATCACTGTCTTTGAGATCACCCCTTCCTTGAAGGCATCAGCCTCCTACAACGTGCCCTTTTGCTATCGAATGTTAAAGAAAGGGTTTCTTGCTGATGCCTTGCGTATGATCGGGATTCAGAAAGTGTTTGGATGAATAACCACGGAAGGATCTTTTGAGAAATCACATGTCCACCCTGCTGCTGACGGTGAAGACTGATGGCCGGGTAATTCCTCCGAGGCCTGACAAGCCGGTCGGCTAGGAGGCGGGTCTCAATCTTGACCATTGACAGCATCGTTTTCTCCGGGGAGCCTTAGACTGTCAGATCCAGAAGAAGGCGGGAGAGAAAGGAGGCCTTTGGCATTCCTCTGCTTTGTTGGTTGGTAGATGCCTGGCGCACAGCTGCCCAGGCTCTGGTGCCGGGTCCTGCCGGCGAGGCTGCCTCTGCCCGGCGGGGCGGCCGGGTCCAGACCTGCGGCCCTTCCCGTCGGGGCGGCTCCTGAATGAAGCATTCTTCTCCTGCCAGAAATAGTTTTAAGATGGGAGAGTGGTGCCCAGGTGGCGCAGGGTTGTTTTTATTTGTATTTTATTTAGGTTTTGAAGTGCGAGTGCATGGAGTCTAGACAGCGCAGGCCAAGGGGAGCGGCCGTAACACACACACTGTGACATTGTTCGTGTCCTCTGAGGAAAGGGAGGTCTCCGCAAACTCCAACAGAGGGGAAGAGTCGGATTTCTGTTTCTAAAGGCAAATCATCTTTCCCTTGAGCAGTTTCAGACCCTTTCTGGAGTAGTCAGTCAACCTGCCATCCCCAGCCACGCCCTTGGCGGCACACTCAGTTGTTCTCAGACATAAGGGCCAAGAGAGAGACAGACAGATAGAGAGAGAGAGAGAGAAGGGGAGAGACAGACAGACAGAGAACCAAGTACTCCTGCATGGAAGGTTGACCCTGGTTTAAACCCATTGGCCTCTTCTCCTGGCTGAGAGCCCCAGGCTGTTTGCGGGGTCACTTGACTAAGGCCGCCAAGCATCCCCGTGGTTGTGGCTAGCTTCCTTCATCAGGGTCCTTGTGTAGCTTTACTGCAGTGGCCGGGCCTCTCTTCTCACTGCTCCCTCCACGTGCTCCCCTATTGCCACCCCCCCCCCCCACGATGGCTGTCTGCTTTCTCGGCCTTTCTGGTTTTGTCCGGCCACCTCGAGCAGATCTTTGTGTCCACATGGGATTTGTTTCCCTGTTTCCTCTTGAGTGGAGGGGAAATGCCACCCTGGGGCGACCTTCAGAGACTGATACTCTTTTAGCTTCACGTACAGGCGTCCTAGAGGGGACCGTGGCCACACCTGCTGTTTCCGCGGTGACATCATGTAAGAGGGGCTCTGGGTTAGGGGCCTGGGTGTCGATGGTCACGTGAGGGCAGGAATGAACCTCTCCACCTTCTCCCTACTCAGCCCTGACCTGGCCATCCTCCCCTGGGGTTGTGTCCTGCCTGCAGGGACCCCCTGGGCGCCTGCTGGGTGCTGGGGTCCCTCGGCCGGGCTGCTCTGTCCAGCACTGCCCCCACATGCCCCTGCGTCAGGCTCAGGCCAAGAGGAGCAGCATGGCCACCAGCTCAGCACAAGGGGGGCTCTGATTGGGGGAGGCCAGGCTGCCATTACCAGCACATGGGAGGCGGCTGTTGGGGTTGCTGCCCCTTGTTCTCCTTTGAAGAAGACCCCCAAGCAGTATTTCAGCATCTCCAGTCTGGACACTGCATCTAGGGACTGGGGAGTGGGGCATCCTGCCTGTCTCTGTCCGGACCCCCTTTGCAAGAGACAATGAGAAGTCCCCAGGGTCATGGGGAAGGTCAGGGAGCCCACTGGGAGAGGTCACTGCATATTTGGAGCTGGGCTGTGTGGGAGGGGTTCCTGGGGGGTCTCAGTGGAGGGTGGCTGGGGGTGCCCAGTGACCATCTGGAGTCCCAAGTTGGGTGGCAGTGCTCTTCTGAGAGGGGCTAGATCTCTTGCTTCGAGGCATTTCCAGATGTCCCCGAGCCATCTCTTTACACTCCCTTCCCAAAACAGCCCACACACCCCATACAGAGGCTGTGTATCTGACCCACCTCGCTGGCATCCACGGGGACAAAGCATGTCGTGCAGCTTCCAGTGCGTGCTGAATCTCAGTGCGAGGGCGAGGGGAAAACAACTTGAACTTGCCAGGTACCTTTGCCACACAGAACAACCACTTGTTACCCTCCTGATGGTGACACTGGGCAAAAATGTGGGTGGAATTTGCATCTCTGTTGTGACATTCAAATGCACAGAGAGAACATGCTTGCCTAATCTGGGGCACACTTGGCTTTAAATCTACTTAGAAAGTGTGTCAGTTAAAGGAAGGTGAATAGGATCATGCCCAGTGACTTCTGCCTGTGCAACATTATTTCAGAGTCTGTGCGTATTAAAAAAGGAGAAAATTGATACTTTTTATAATGTTCCTGAAAGTGAAAAAGAAAATCAAGCTTAGTATAATTCCAGGGAATGAAAAAGAGGCCCAGCTCTTAAATATCTTATCTGACCCTTAGGATTTTCTAGCCAGCCCTTCCCTTTAAAAATCCCTTAGTCTTTGAAAATCCAAGGTGACACCGAAACAGTTTATGACATCTGTGACTCTCTCCTCGGTGCTGGAAAGACAGCAGCAGGAAGTCTTTTCAAGCAAAAAGAACTTACCTCCTTGTCTTTAGTCTGAGCAGGTTTGGAAGGTCACAGTGCAGACAGTTTACAGTTTAGTGTGGCTTGTCTTTTATTAAAGAACTTACACCGCACACAGGAAGGTACTTCAAGACGGAAAGCTCTGAATATTTAGGGGTCTCTGTAGAGCAGACCGTCTGTTTATAGCTGTTCAAGAATTAACTGTGGATTGACCACATCCTGCTTTCTCTTCAGGTGTTTCATTAAGCAGACCACGTGTGATGGTCATTTTATGACAATGCCTCTTATAAATACCCAGGTAGCTGTGTCGCTGGTGGTTATTGGGTACTGACTGTGCACTCTGCCCATGTTCGTTCATTCAAAACCCCCAACGAGAGTGTGACATTTAGGAATTACTTTTCTCCCCATTTTATAGATGAAGAAGCTGAGGCACAAAGGAATTAAGGGACAGCCCAGGGCTGGGATGTGGTGAGGCTGAGCTGCCACCCAGGCTGCCTGTCTCTGCCACCTGGCCCCTCTGGGAAGAAGAGAGCATCCCAGATACTCGGGCAGGACTGGGCCAAGCAGAGGACCTCATGTCCTCTGGTGACCTTTCCTCCGCTCCCTGTTTCCTGTCCAGCTGGGCACACTGGCTCGGGGGTGGGGGTGGTGAAGAACCTTGGCCCTGGTGACCTGGAGGCTCCTCCAGCCTTGGCCACCTGCCAGCCCTCGAGAGGCTAGGCCCCAGCCTCTTCTC